GGGGACGCAAGAGTGTTTACTTTATGAACATCCAGGAGTGATTTGTTTTAGAGTTGGAGATTAAGTGGTTTAGGAAAACAATTTCTGTGTACAAACACACTGCAACACATCCGCCATTTCACCTTTATTCATATTTTTCACAGTACTACAAAATAAAGGTCCTTGTTGGTTCGAAAATAATATTGATACTCAAAACGGCTCCTCAAAATATATTGGGTTTATTGGTCTTTTAGCCAACTAATTATAAAATCCTAGATTATTCAGAGTCAATTTTAACTGATTATTTTCACAACCCGTTCTCACTCCCAACTCCTCAAATACTGGCTCGACCTGTCAAACTATGACACTCCACGTACCCCTCTCTAGTGTCAGTTCTGCACATGCAGAGCTGCCTCTTGTGGCCGCAGTAATTGTGACGGGAGTGGAGCCAACGAAGAAGTGAGGTGACCTAGCAAGTCCAGATAGAGCGGAAGGCGGGGTGGATGGATGAGTCAAACTAACACAGGACTTTAACCCAGGAGACTGCTGTTCATGACCCACGTGTTAATAAACGTGTTGACTTCTTTTAACTTGCATGAAATAATTTACTTAAGTTACGTAACTTAAGCAACAGACATACTTATTCAAACTCAATCCCTGAGCTTTTCTTAAACTTATCCAAATAGTTTTGTTTGAAAACACACCCATAACCGCATGCCGAAGCCTATTGGACTACTCTACACAGTTTATACTCTCTCGGTTGTGTGCAATGATGCTTCCTCTATCTGTGAATTTAGAATAAACTGCATTATTTCGAATGAAAGAAACAAGCTAATTCATATGATTGTCTCCCTGATGTTGGAGATGTTTGCTTGTTTTCTTCAGGGATTTATTGTGTGAAAACAGCCTGTAAACAAAATGTTTTTTGTCAGACTGAATTCTGGAATATCGGAACGTACTGTATTTAGATTCACGGCGAGAAAACTGTTCCTGCTTGTAGACGCAACAATCTCAAGGATGTTTCAAGTCTTTGAAAGTTGATTTCGAACTTGTAGATTCTTGGAGAATCCGTCTGCAGTAATGTAGAGTTGATAAGCTAACACAACTTTTATGGTTCTTGAAGTAATGGAGATATTATTTTAAGTGCTTTAGCATGAAAACACCGTCTCTTCACTATAACCTGTCAGTTGTCATAGTTGTTGTTTTTATTCCCAACACTGACACTTAGATGAAGCCGTCGGTCATTTACTGCTGTGAATATTAGCAAAGCCAGGCAAATTACTGGAGAACGAAATAATCTAACAATCTTTTTTTTTTTTTTGTCCTGCGAAATTATAACTGTTGTTGTTAGAAACTGCAAAAGGGACATGGCTCATAATGATTAGATGTTAACTGTGAATGAAGTTAAATACCGCAAAATCATTAGTCTGAGATGTTTACAGCGGACAGGAAAGGGGCGATTGAGTTGGCTGAGGCTCAGACATCAGACTTCACAACCCGCGCACTTATTTGAAAAAGGGCAGAGATACAAATAGATCTCGATGCTTTCTACAAAACCAAATCTTACTATACCTTCATAAAAGATTATACCCATTGTTGTCTGGTCTTGTGGTAAGAATTAACCAAAGATGGGGGATACTTATCAAAAATGTTTGCTTTCCTAAACATCTCGTCATCATATTTCTTTACTCTCAAAGATTAGAATCTGTATCAACATCATAATATCCAGTGTTGCTTTGGCTCAATTGTTTTTTCATTTTGTTTCTAACGAGCAGCAGCGTCTTAAAACTGTCAGAGATGTAATGATTGGATGTGAGCAGTACTCGTGATGATGAACATTAACAATATTCAGGGGAATGTTGTGGCTAAATGAACCGATGTAACGTGAACATTTTAGAAGTCTATAATAACAAATGTTGTGTAAGTTTTATTTTGAATCTTTTATTCGATGGTTTGTTCCATTTGGAGCCCACGTGTCCTAACTGAACTGTTCCAGATCTAAACTCACTACTATAAATTACAAGTACTCGTGTACTCTGAAGGATTCACTGACTGTACACAAGTTCTTTGTTTTGTTTTTTGTCCTTTTTCCAAACTGGTCACCTTTTGAGCCTTTTCTTTGTTTTATATTTATTTGTGTTTACTGAAGTTCTTGATTTGAATTTATTTGTTTGAGATAGATTTTTCTAATGGTAAGTATGGGAAGGATGTGTAGTGGACAAACAGTTTGATTTAGACATTTTATTGCATTTCAAAAGTCCTTTTGGGCAAATTCAGACTTGATTGTAAGTCACAATTACGGTTTCCTGACAAAATAAACATCAGAGTTACTATTTTGGAGGTGGGGTGCTTTTTTTTTTTTTCTCACTTCCTGTTATGAAATGCTAAAAATGTTGGAACGGTATTCTTTTCAAACTAGGAACGATGCAGTTATTCGTTATGAATGTTAACTAATCCACCATGAGGGGCCTTCAATAGATTTTACTTTACAAGATTGTATTGTAGCGTCTGAGTTTGTTTTTTACCATGGCACATTTTAATATAGATTAGCATACTAATGGCATTACATGAGTTGGTATTTGTAGTTAAAAAATTGTTTCTGGTGTTGGTGAGTAGAAGAAGGAACATACACACCTATTCCTGAGGTAGATGCAGGTTTTGTCTTCAAAACATCATAAGGAACATTTATTTCTACAGTATTTTATAAGAAAACTTAACTCTGAATCATATGGGACCTTTTTAAAGGGGACTTTCAGCTTCATTTTCAGCTCCATACTTCTATATATTCTGTTTCAACTACAACATGTTTATTAATGTTTAATATTCAAAACAAAATGTATAGTCTGAAACGCTCCGTTTTAGTGTCTGTCTCTTTAAGCCCAATGTGCTCTGATTCGCCTGCAAAAACAATATTGTACACCTTTGCAAAGGTAGTTCTGAAACCGTGGATGGAAGTAACCTACTTGTGTAGATGGGGGGGTGTGGTATTATTGATTATATTATTGGTATTATAGTTTTAAAACGCTATAAATCATCACTGAGGCAAATATCTCCAGCTAAACCAAAAAGCTCTTGTTTTCCACGTGCATGTTCAGATTTCTATTTTTTTATTTTCAGAAAAAATTTAAAAAAATTCTCCACGCCCCCAAAACCCGGCTACACCTGACACCTGTCCACACCCAAAATAACGAGTAAACTCCTCCTGTTGGCTCTGAGCATCTAATAATTCTACATCGAGCAGCTAGGCACCGCGCTCAGAGCTGCCCACGAGGTTTCACCTCAAACTGGCAGCTGCGACCGGCACTTTGAATGTTGGCGTATTGATACAGTGAAAGGGAAGGTGCGAGGTGTTTCCGCTCCTAATCCACTTAGCAGCATTATGCTGAGCTTCGTTCCAGACCTGACATGCTATGCGCACTTGTAGCTCCCCAAAACCCGGAGTCAGCAGCTCTGCGTCCGTTACGCACAGCTGGAGGGACTGTCCGCAAGTCCGAGGGGGGCGAGGGGCCGAGCAGCCGGCGCTACAGGTAAGCGACCCGCACCGCCTCTCACTGCACAAAGCGCCTTTTTTGGATGGTGAAGGATTATCGATTATCTGCGCTGACCTCATTTACTCCTCACTTCAGCCTCAACTCGACCTTTTTGATCACATATGTGATGGTTTTATTGACACGGAGATCTTAATACACAGAGGGTATAAGATTAATTCATCTTTCATTATTGCTCTTTTTCCGCGAATGAGATCACGTTGTCTCTGTGCGCGAGCTCACGCTTAATTTAATCAAAGGCAATCTCGGATTTAATTGCTTTTGTGAGGCAAGTCCGGTTCTTTTTCTTTCCGTTTTAACATGTTCAACGTGCTTTCAATGCACTCCTGTTTTGTGAGAAGCCAAAGCCTGTGTGATTATGTAGCCATAGTAACGGGTGGCTGTCTGCATCCACCCCCCCTCCCAACACACGCGCACACACAGAGACACTCCTCTTCAGTAGATCTTCCTCTGCAGCTATGCAAGCAAAGATGACATGACACATGGACATGTTCATGATGATGTGATTTTATCTGTTTCCAGTCTTTCCACATGTTGAAGCTGCCCGCTGTAAAAGATGAGACACACTCTGCGTACGTGTGTGCGTCTCCTCCCTGTCGGCGGCGTCTTCTCGCCACATAACGGAGCTGGAGCCATCAAGGAATAGCAATGCATCTGACATAACTTCCTGTTTGGAGTCGAGACAACGAGGGCAATGAAGGTGCACTCGCCTCCGAGGAGGAGACTCAAGCGCAGTCGCGTCCTCTTCTTCATCTCAGGTGTGCTGCTGTGTTTCGTCTACACGCTGACTCTGAAGGCCCGGCTGTCAGGCCCGCGAGCCTCCGCCCAGACGGATGACGCTCTCGGTGATGATGTTGTGGAGGTCAGCATTCGGGAGGTGATTGCATCCAATGAGACGGATGTGGGGGTTGTCTCACCTGAGAGCACCAAACATCCTTTGGTGATACTCGTCAACAGGACAGATGTAGAACATTGTCTCTACGTAGATCCTCAACCTCCTCCAACTCCACCGCCACCAACCACTACAGACACCCCTCACAAGAAGGGCGATTACCCCGTGGACATCTTCTCAGTGGAGGAGCGACAGCAGGGCTGGGTGGCCCTGCACATCCTAGGGATGATCTACATGTTTGTCGCCCTGGCCATCGTCTGTGACGAGTTCTTTGTTCCCGGGTTGGAGGTCATCACCATCAGGCTGGATATCTCTGACGACGTGGCCGGGGCCACCTTCATGGCGGCCGGAGGCTCTGCCCCGGAGCTCTTCACCTCCCTGATCGGTGTCTTCATCTCCCACAGCAACGTGGGCATCGGCACCATCGTGGGCTCGGCCGTCTTCAACATCCTGTTTGTGATCGGCATGTGCGCCATCTTCTCCCGGGAGATGCTTCATCTGACCTGGTGGCCGCTCTTCAGAGACGTTACCTTCTACATCCTTGACCTCATCATGCTCATCGTCTTCTTCCTGGACAACACGATCCTGTGGTGGGAGAGCTTGACGCTGTTGATGGGCTACATCAGCTACGTGAGCTTCATGAAGTTCAACAGGCAGATCGAGAATGTGGTCAAGACCCTGATCAACAGGCACATGAGTATCGTCAAGGTGTGGACCGCAGAGGAGCTGGAGAAGGTCAGTTGGCGATACACGTCTGGGGAAAAAGTGGCTTAAAGATGGATATCGTGCAATTCACAACAATATAATCTGTAGTCACACTGAGGTTGTAGAAAACATCCCTCTGCCTACCAGTCTGTGTCCATCAAAGCTGATTTGATAGTTTACAGATTGCCTCAGTGTCCAATCAGATATGTGATTGAACAATCAGCTCTCTATTCAACACTGGCAGCTCTAAATAACTGATTACAGCCACAATTTGCAACATCTAATTCATGATGCACTGAAAAGAATCCAGTGATAATAGCAATATAATTGTAATTTCTGATCAGTTATGTGCCTGTTACGAGCAGAAATGACTCTGTAGTGTCATTCGGTTAAAAGTAGGAGGCAAGTTGTTCTGCAATATACCAGTAAAAATAACTCTTACTTAAAACAAAAGTTTTAATTATTACTAATTATTTTAGTTTTATAATTGCAATTTTAATTGTTGAATGAACTCTAACAGGTGGTGATTTAAGACTATTTTACTGTTGTGCAACCAACATCAAAAAAGAACAGCAGGAAGAACATACAACCAGATACAACAAAAGATGCAGACAACAAAGATGTCTCTGCAGAGCAGTTGTTACCAGATCGACTTCCATCTGTACACAGTATATTTTCTACCCTTTCATCTCCTCACAGTTGGAACTGCTGCCTGCTCAGATGCAATGAAAGAGGGACAGTGATTTTGTGGGTCTGAGCAGGTGATGCCCTGTATTTGTGTAAAATCCTTTGATGATGCTGAACAAGAAAGGGCTCCAGGTGTCACAGACAGCGTGTCACAGTAATGAAGTGATTGAAACGTCACTCTGTCTCTGCCACAGCCCTGAAATACCAGTATGCAGAGAGGTTGTTTCATTTCGAATGAAAAACAAGCAAAGGAATAGTGTATTTTTAAAGGGCTTTTTTTTCTGTACAATGCCTGAAGATTAAACGGCTTCTTGCTGCTCCCAGAAAGCAGTAAATGTCTGAGCCCGCAATTAATATGCAGAGCTGTGTTTCAGTATTTCAAGTACTGCCTTCTTCAATAAGCCTGAAGCACGTCTGCAGACAGTGTGTGCTCCCTCAGTGATAACACTGGACGTAATGACGCATGCTGCCACATTACTGGGTCAGAATTACTGGACTCTAAAGTATCCTCTTCCTGGAATTCCAGTATATGCATTGTCCAACAAGTATTTACAGTCGTGTCTCTTTAATCTGTTTAGGGAAGGATACCTGTAGAAAGTAGGACACGGGGAATTAAGGATCATGTTGCAGAGACAGAGGACTCAGGCAGGAATCACTTAAGAACAGATTAATTTGCACGAAGGAGAAGTTTGATAGATTGTATTTTACTGTGTATCTGATTGAATAACAACCAACTGAAATAAGTAATAAAGTAAAATGATGTACAGTAAATACAATGTGATGTGCATAATGGTTTGCCAATTTACTGGGAACAGATTCAATTTGGCTCTGCAGCTCATTCAATTCAGTAGCTGCACCGACTCCCTCTGGGTCCTTCCGGAAGTTGTTATCCAGAAGGAACACGTCTTCTGTAATCACCTGTAATGTATCACGTCGTTCATCCCCGTCACTTTGACTGCCTCCTGTTTTAGCATCTAACTGCATGTCAAACCACTGCTGTTTTGTCACTACTAATGATGACAGCTGTAGGGATGTTTTCAGGTCCATTTTTTACATTTTTTTGATTTGCCCACAAACGGAGCTGACCAGGTGATGTTCAATATTACACAGGCCTGGGTTAGACAACAACTTAATTCATAAGCAGCATGTAAGCACAATATCAGCTGTCATAATGAAAGTGTTAAAACCATATTTTTAAAACCACACAGGGCCTCAAGGTGAAGTAATAAAGCAGGATCAACTTTAAGGCTTAAGCCTTAAATCATACATGCTATAGTGACTGGATTACTGTGCAGTCTTTTGTCTGGTCTATTCAGGAACACTGTTGCACACCTGTGATTGAGAAGTCCCCCCTGTCACCCCCCAGAAATGTTCCTTGCCGGTCTGCAGATTTGATATTGGTTTAGGTTTAGGCTGTGCTTAAGGACAAACTGTCAGGATTAAAGGTGCTGAATTCCAAATTAAGAGCACAAGATTGAGGGATTGCCTCAATCTCGACTGCTGAGCCGGCAATTAGTAGCTAACTATGCTAACTGTGCAGAGAGGTAATTGTCTAGTCAGTGGGGCATGCACTCACATGCACTCACATGCACTCACATGCACTCACATGCACGCGAATGCACGCGTGGCTGGACCGGCTATGTACACAATCACAGAGAAGCTTGGATTGCAACAGACACAGCGACTTTATTCTCTCTTCAGGTAGACATTACTCCGCTGTATCTGTACAAAGCTAATAGCTATTTGCCGCTATTAATGCTCTGAATTTCTATTTTAGTACCTTTTAAATCAAGCATTTTAGATTTTTGGCAAAGGAAATCTGAACAACTAAATGTGTGATGTTGTTTCATTGTTTGACAATGAAACAAACAAATCTCTGTATATGTTCACAGGGAAACTGAATTACTGAGGTGCTGCTAACTGATTAAGTTGTCACTAAATTTACAGGAGAGTGAATCTCCACCAGAACCACATCCTCCTGCTGCTGCTCCCTCTGCTGCTGCTGCACCTCCTCCTGCTGTTCATAAATCCAAAAATGAACTTGAACCACCTCCGAGCTCCCCTCAATGCAACACACCGCCACAGGATGATGACAAAGAAAAACTCAAGGTACGAAAAGCTAAATCTAGTGTTGATGTGGACTGATGTTAGATTGACATTCTTCATTTTGGTAATTTATTAAATGGCTCTCAGTATTAGAGCTTCCAATTTATTGCACCTTATTTGCTCTGGTCATTTTACTTATTCAGTGAATTGCTCAGTTATGATGCTGGTAATGTAATTCCTCATGTAAAGGCAGAAATGAATCGCAGAGATTCGTATCCCTCTGGACTTGTGCAGTAATGTAAAATAACATCTGCAAGTCATGAAAAAGCGGATTTCAAGGCTGCGCAAGCTATTCTATACAGTTAAATGCTACATTTAGTGTGTAAAATTAATCTAAATGATAAGGGTGGCAGATTTACCATCGCAATTCTGAGTCATTTTTGAAACAATGGCTCATTGATTTGAGAAAAAGTTTGACAAAAGCAGTTTTTCATTTCTAGCCTGCAACTGATTTTACACGCTTGAAATCACAACTGACGAGCAGATTTTATCAGCTGTAGCTCGCTAGCTAATTAAGCCAACGTTGGCTAAATGAATTGTCTGAAAACAACTCGTATTAAAATGAGAATCCTATGAAAGCAGTTTCATAAATATGCAATTCAGCACCGATGTGGTTGTGCTACAAGACTGAGGCTAAATGCTAACACGTTCCAGGAAAACACCTGCTTCCACACAGTGGGTTAAAATACAGTGACCAGACGTCGCGGTTTGTCTGGGAGTGTCAAGCTTGGTGTCTCGATCCCCAACAAATATGTGTTAAACACTAAACACGTCACGGTTTTCTCCAGTTAAAATAATAACAATTATATTAGTTTTCAGGTCATACATGGACATTTATCATATTCTGTCCAACTAATTATTCCAGAACCCGATATAAAACATAAACAAAGCACCACGCGTCTAAATTCAACACTTATTTATTTATATGCGTGTCAAATCGATGCTATGACGCCCAGGGCTCGATCTGACAGCACCTGGCAGTATACGCAAACGTTTAGCTCTCATGTTAAAGAAACTGTCTGTCTTCTCCAAAGAGCTCATTCCTTTATAAAAGCATCCAGCAAGGAAATGCTGCGTTCTGAACACACTGCCAGAGTACATTTCTGGTCGCGCACGGTGGAAATGCCAATATAAAAGGTCATATTAAGAGGCCCAGATAGCAATATACAGTAGTTGGCAGAGAATGTGTCGCAGTCTTCCATCTCACTCCGGGTTAAATACGACATTTATCTAGTAGGGGGTATTAAAATGGTTGCAATCTCACCGCTAGATGAAACTAAATTCTACACACTGCTTCTTTAATCACAGAAGATATTGGTGCTATTGGCCTTCAAAGCTTTGCACTTGTTCAACTTTACATTGCCTTGAAGTTGTTGATGCAGTGTGGTTTCTGACTTTGTGTCTGCTGGCCTGTAGACGCGTCCCACCCTGCAGCGAGGCGGCAGCTTTGCCTCCCTCCACAACACCTCACTGAGGAGCAGCATCTTCCAGCTGATGATCCACACGCTGGACCCTCTGGGAGAAGGTAACGACCACAACCAACCACAGTTTCTGCAGTAATGAGATCAAATTTGCAGCCTGGTGCTTGAGGAGCTTTTAAGGAGTTTATATGCGCCCCCCTTTTTTTTTTTTTTTTTGCATTTGATCCTTAAAGGTTTTTTAAAGGCAGATTTTCTCTAGTGTGGTGTGCGAGAGAAAACGTTTTCATAGATTTTCATGAATCTGCAGTGGCTTTGAGGTGCAAAATAAAACTAAACAAATAAACCAAAAATGACTTATAAAACAACCAAATACTGTGTCTGAAACAGTTTCTCAGTTCATCAAATATACAATTTTGTCGTACAATACTATCACCCTAAAAATTAGAACTTAAAGTTGAGAATAAGGCAAAAAAGATTCTTGCAAATTGTCTACAAATAAATACAACTCAGCATTTTGGATATTATTTAATTGCAACAATGGGTAAATTGCGTTTTACACTTTCTGTACACCTTAACTTGATACTCTAGTGTTATTTCTGCACCACATTGTAATAATATCCCACTGCACACTGTGCTGTTGGATGCAGAAGAGCCGTAGCGAATGATTATTTTATATAAAGCAGAATTGTTGACAATGATAAATGTGTCTTATTTATATCATATATGACATAAATGCATAAAGTCTGAGAAGCTGGAGCTGGTGAACTTCTGCTAAAAGAAATGAACTGAAACGATTAATTAACTGCTGATCGACTAAATGTTCCAGCTCTAGGATGCAGTGACTTAACTCTGTCCTAGTCTGTCCCGGTCTGTCCGTCCTGTCCCGTCCTGTAAGTCAGGGCAGAGCGGTGAACCAACGCGACCTTCAGCCCGTCCTCAAACTCCCCGGGCCGCTGTTCCCTCGCTCTCACAGCACTCGGCCACCACTGATCCTAATCAGCTTTTGAATAGAGGCTAATAAGAGCCAGCGTACTAACAGACCAAGCTCTTTATCTCTGTGGACCCAGTGTACAGCAGCAGCAGCTGAGGCCGGCTCCGTGTCATTACTGTGGTAAACTGTCAGCATCTTAGACGTTTAGCTTCCTGATAAATAAACCAGTTTTCTGTGTTACATAAATACAGATGTGGAGGAAGTATTCAGATTATTTACTAAGGTAAAAGTACCATTAAAGCAAAGAGCCTCTTCCTAAAATACTTTACATTGTTAAAGTGTCATTTTGGTATTTTTAAACCTGGACCCTATATTTTCCCATGTTTATGTGACTAAGAATGTTTTTAACAGGTGGGGGAAATAGTTTTTGTTCTAACACTCAACCACAACAGGCTGAAGTACACCACCACCCCATGTTTGAAATAGGACTAATAGCAGTCATGTTTAGTTCGAGGTGCACTCAAACAAAAGGTGCATATGTTGGGTGGTTTGCAAGTTATGTAAATTAAAACTCATCTGGAAGAACACCGATATGCTGACCTAAAATATTTCAACAGTTTTTTTACTTCATAAATGAATACATATAAGTAACTTAGAAATATTATCCTTGCAAAACTTTTATTTTCTCCTGTTAGTCATAAACATAGGAGAGAAAATACTTTATATCAGACTAAGAAAATTGATCACCGACATGTTTTTTTCCCTGTTTCTCAGGGCTTCTGTAGTGATGCCCCTGGTGATGCATTTCTGAGTTCATGTCATCTTTTTGTTCCTGTAGATAACTGGTCAAACAAAGTCACATCACATGCAGATAATTTAGAAAGTTAGAAATGTGTTTGAAGGCACCGAACGGCTCAGGCAGGTGATTACATCGTATCGGTTTGAGTGGACACAGCGTGCAGTCAGAGAGAAAATGCGTAAATCTCAGATGGCCAAGAAGTTAAAATGGCTGCTGTGGGTTTCCATCCTTAGAGGCCGCCCTTAGAGGCAACGTGAAAATCCCCGGCCAGAGGAAAGCCAGAAGAGGTAAGAGCGGCAACATGTTGCCGCCTCGCTGTTGTTTCCTGTCGTGTGTCTTGTTGTGGTTGTAGTTAGTGAGGACATTCAGTAACTCGAACAAAAGACAACAGTCAACAAATCACAATCCTCTCCAGGAGTATGGCAGCGTATAACGGATCAGTATCATCTTATAATATGAAAAGTTTGTTATAACAAGATGTTTTCAGGTTATTACAATGTACAAACTTATACGTTATAACAAGAAACTAGTATTGTTATAACAAGAAACTATTCATCTTGTATAAAGTTGTAGAACATGAAAACTTGTTATATTGTGCAATTTACGTATATGGTTGCATGTGATTAAAGTGTCACATAACCGGAAGAGACTGAAGATTTTAATTTAGAATTTAGTTTAATGTGTGTCTCTGCCAATCAGAGACGTCCTTTAATGGGGATGTCAGCGGGGAGGGGTCAGTACAGAGGAAAGGTAAGACGCTTGTGTCCCCCGTCTGTTGTTGTTGTTGTTGTTGTTGTTGTTGTTGTGCTCAGTCGGATCTGCTTCTGTCCTAAAAATGTTCCTGAACTGGTTTTTGGATATCTTGGATGTTGTTGTTATTAGATGGTTGTTTGTTTGAATTGGAGGGTTGCATGTGTGTTTGTTTGCATCCAGTTGTTTCTGTGTTGTTGTGAGGATCACTGACCTTTTTTCACACACTGGCTGTTTGGAAAACTAATAAATAAACTATATAATATTAGTAACAATAATAATAATAATAATCACAGGATTATTACAGAATCTGAGTTTGTGCTCATTTAGTTTGAGCAATGTCTTACATTTTCGTTAATGCAATTTAAGAAAAGTCTCAGTACTAAAGCAAAAAACCTATTGCAAATACTATGATACTTTTATTCAGTTGCTAATTTGACAGCCCATAGTATAGAAATATCTAAGAGTCAAGCGTATGAGGAGATATACACTGTCACACTACTATATAACAAGATTTAGTCTGCAGCAGACTCTCTTCTGAGGAAAAGAATAGAAACATTGATCACCAGGAGGGATGTAGGAAATTTAACTCAAGTCCTTGGTTCAGTTTTTTTAAATGGCCAGAGTGTGAGTGTATAAAGTCAAAGGCATGTTGACTTGGTTGAACAAAACTGCTCGTGGATGAAGTATCCCGCGACCAATATTAAAAAAATAATGTTGTATATGAGCGATGATTTTCTTGATTGCAGTCCAGAACAAAGTTAAGGCTCTGAACGTCCCGGTCTCAGGCAAATTACAGAGCAAGTCACATCACCGCCCCTCTGAAGGTGAGTTGTGTGTTACAATCTGACGGTTTGATAAAAGCCAACAGTCAGGCCAGATTTATGTCAATTTCATGAGATGAGTGCAATAAGTGTATTAGCCTAGCTTAGCACAAAGACTGGAAGCAGGTGGAAACTCAAACTCAAAATATTTAAAGTTTGGTCTGAGGGTGATGGCAGAGTATCAGACACATGCTGTGTTACATTGTTAGCTAAATAAAAAATGGTTTGTTCTGTATTGTGGCCATTTTCTTTGCAGCAGCACGTCAAATTCAGATCAGGAGAAGACGTCCAACTCCAGCTTTACCCCCCGAAAACTGCATCTAGAGTTGTTTTCTGTATTACTGACGTTCCTACTACTGGTAGAATTCGCATGATAGTGTTCCAAATAAGAATTATTAATAACCATGTAATGGCCGCTAAAACCGTGTGTATCTGTATCTTTATATTTAGTGACTTTTTGTTGGTATTTTTCAATTAAAAGGTTTTCTTTATTTAGAAGTTTGTATGCTGGAAGTGCAGCACTCGTGTAAAAGGTCGGTTGCTTGTCGTTGATCAAAGATGGTTGAAGAAGGTTGTTCTCTACAATCAGCGGAGCCTTTCACTCAGTGTTTGTGCGTCACAGTGCGGAGTAATGAGGTCCTTCAGACTCTGAGGTGCAGAGCAAAGTGGGGCTGCAGGGAGTCTGGAGGGGCCTCAACAAGAATCCATCAGCCCGAAGATTAACATGCAGACGGGACCGTGTGTGTGTGGGTGGGAATCCCTTTTCCTCCATTACGAGAGCATGTTGATCTCTCAGCACTCCAATCACTGGCACATTGTACCGGCCTACACAACATCATCATTTTGTCAGCTTCAACATAAAAAGTACGATTTGTTTTGTCTCGAAGTGTGAAATGAAAAGCACCTCCTGTTAGACGAGTGCCAACACCTTCATAGGATTTTAAAGTGTGTGTGTGTGTGAGCAGTTTTTGTCAAAGAAAAGCAATTTTTACTGAATCATCTACTTGTGTTAAGTTGAGACAGACGGGACTTTTTGGAGTGATGACCGTGATGATAAAAGGATGACTGAACAACTTAATTGGAGTCCTCTATATACAGTATATCTGCTGATGTGTTGTGGGGAGATGCAGTATACCGATAATATATGTATAGATATCCCTGTCATTCTGTGTGTTGTTCCTCTTTCTCCAGATGATGAGCCACAGCCGACTGAGCCAGCCGGTGGTGCTGCCGGTGCACCGGGGAGCGCTGCAGCCGAGCCGTCCACCTCACAGCCTCAAAAGACAGAAGAGAAGAGCGTGAAGGCGGCCGACCAGCCAAAGGTTCACACTGTTGATTTCAAAACAATGACTAGAATAGAACACGATTATTCACAGAGACCTGTTTTAAATTGAGATCGATCCTCCAGTTTCAAAGTAGTGAATTTTGGATTTCCTGAGATAAATAACAATCAGCCTCTCTACACTCCTGCCATACTCCATGTTTATTTATGTTAATTGCAACTTGGGACAACTGGGAAATAGGAGGTATTGATGAACTTGTGAACTATTAACACTTATTATTAATATTATCATTACAACCGGGAACATTCGACATAAAAACAGTCGAATGTTGTCAATTTGGATGATAGAAAAAATGAAGTCACATTAAGAAACTTCCAGCTGCTGATGTGAAGTTTGATAGCAGACACATCTTCATCCAGAGCAGAAGTCCGTTGTCTCGTGCCTTACCCCCCCCTGACTCACGAACCCTTGGTTTTCATGCTTTTGCGTGAGTCACTGCCTCTGTGAAGGCCGCTCTAAGTTACAAGTACAAGTACCTCAAGTACAGATGTTGAGTAAATGTATTTAGCTACATTCCTCCACTGCAGACACTTGTGACTTTTCAAACAAAGATATTACAAATAGAATTATTAATAGCTGCATTAATTCCTGGAAGTGAGCAATTATTGTAATTAGTTCCAACTGTGCTTTTCCTGCTGTCAAGAGTCAAAGGTGTTTGTTGTGAAAAAGGTGAAGTGTGCTCGAATATTAGCGACGCTATCAGGATTTAGGTTATTCTGAGAGTAAAATAAAATGTAAAGTTCTGGTGTTGCTTTCTCCTGCAGGCGGCAGCGGGTGGATCAGCGGGCTCGGAGGGCAGCGGTGGGGATGAGAGCGGCGGCGAGTCCGGTGAGAGTGGGGGTGATGACGATGGTGGAAACGAGGAGGAAGACGAGAGTGAACCGTTGTCTTTAGAGTGGCCTGAAACCAGACGCAAGCAGGCCACCTACCTGTTCCTGCTGCCCATCGTGTTCCCGCTGTGGCTCACGCTGCCTGACGTCCGCAGACCGGTGAGTACAATCCACATTTGAAGTACTTGTACTTGTACAGTTTCTGCTACTTCTTCTACAGTGATTCACGGTTTTTGAAAATATATTTGAAAATTAATTATTTGCTTTGAATGAGGTCCTTGAAAATGAAAAAAAAATGGTGTTTGAAAAAGTTTGTGAAAGTCCTTGAATTCAATTTAGTAATGCCTGTGTTGACCCTGTATGAAGTTTTTGTAAATAAACAGATGTCACACACATGCAAATCAGTTTGACATGTTTTACTAAAGAGCACCATTTATTCATCTGGTTTAAAGTAATGATGTTCTGTGGCTGTTTCTCTGAACTTGTTTCTTGTTTTCCAGGAGTCCAGACAGTATTTTGCCCTGTCGTTTATCGGCTCCATCACGTGGATCGGAATTTTCTCCTACATGATGGTGTGGTGGGCTCATCAGGTTGGTTGTCATGTTTACAGCAATTTAAAAGCCACTGACTTACTGGAGTCCCTGCTGTTTAGCAAACTCAGAGTAAGGATGGATTATTCATTTGTAATCTTCTTGTTCTACAGGTGGGGGAGACTATAGGTATCTCGGAGGAAATCATGGGCCTGACTATCCTGGCGGCCGGGACGTCGATCCCTGACCTGATCACCAGTGTGATCGTGGCCCGGAAAGGTCTGGGGGACATGGCCGTGTCCAGCTCGGTGGGCAGTAATATCTTCGACATCACTGTAGGGTGAGTACCGGCTGCAACGGAAAAATAATTTCAAGCAGGCTTGGTTTGGCTTTTATCTAATTGCAGCAGTAGAAAAAGTTCTCAGTTCCTTTACTGAAGCAAAAGTATCAATACAACAATGTAAAAAATACTCTAAACAAGTAAGTACTGGTCAGATAAAGTATGTTGACAGAAACCTGTCTGTCCTCTGGTTTTAGTCTGCCCGTCCCGTGGCTCATATACACCCTGTTACACAATGGCGAGCCTGTAACCGTCAGTTCCAACGGCCTGTTCTGCGCCATCGTGCTGCTCTTCCTCATGCTCCTCTTCGTCATCATCTCCATCGCCATCTGTCGCTGGAAGATGAGCCGAAGGTTGGGCCTCACCATGTTCGCACTGTACTTTGTGTTCCTCGTGCTCAGCGTCATGCTGGAGGATCGCATCCTCGTCTGCCCCGTTTCAATCTGAGCTGACAGGCAGAGAGAATGATCGCCTCGCATGACTTGGGTACGTCCAGACAGGATCAATACCGTTACGGTGGATGTGTTAGATCGGAGAACCAAACCTGATGTCAAAAGGCTGACCTGGCGCACAGTAGACACATGGTAGTAAAACAACCTAACTAGCAGTGCTGTCAAAGGAACAGTCCACCTCTTACATTATTAATCTGTAATCTTTAACATTTTCTAGACGCTACTCTGCCCAAAATTAGTGTTGTGTTCATTTGCTTTTTTCCTGCTAAAAATCCCGCAATGCAATGTCCAGCTTTTTATAGATCATTGTGCAACCTGTCAGTGATGACACAGTGAAATACTGCTCTTATATAATATACTATATGTTAATATAGTAAAATACTGAGTGTAGCAACACACTCCAGCATTGGGACACGCATCTAAACACACGCACCTTTCTCTGTAAGCCCACAAATCAACTAGGATATACTACTGGTATATTCTACAGCACTGACAAACGCTCCAGAAAAGAGTTTTCTGCTGACCTTTAGTGGTTTAACTTAACTTCTACAACTCCTTTCCGTCGTACGTTTTAGACGTCGGAGTCTCACTTAATTGAAACTTGTACCTACAGAGGATTTTCCTAAACTTGTGGGTGTAGAAATGTACAAAGCCCGGGAGGTGAATTTTTATAAAGTGCACGTAGGCTTTTATTAAGTCACACACGCACGCGCTTTACTAGTTCTGGTAAACGGACCAATTCAGTGGATTTTAATGTGTTTATTTGTGTTGTTACGGTACCGGGGCTTGGAGCAACCAAAAAGAACAAAAGACTTGCAAGCACTCATATCTCAAAAAACAAAAACTTTTGTTGAGAACCGCAATGGATTTCTGCTCAAAAAGTTCCTGATTATGACCATAAGTGGTTTAACTGTGCATTAATACACAGGGAAAGTCGGCTGACTTGACCGCAGTTAACTGAGCACTCACATGCAGTTGAGAAGGGGGACAGCATCGCCGTCACCTCCTGGGGTCCCTTGAAATGACACCTTTTGTGCAATTCATTTCTTCTTTTAAGGCTATTCAACTTCGGTGCAAAATGCACACAATAAAACTGTACTAGAAATGTAACAAGCACAGAACATCACCACTTACCATTTTAGGAATTTTCCTTTTAATATTTTGACCATAATGCTTAGGGTTCATCCCTGAGGGGACTTTAATGAATAAATTAATTAAATGCATTACAGCAGTAAGGGTTTCAGATTTATTGTGCAGCACTTCAAAACTACTGGATGCAACTTCAGTTTCGTATGTTCAGTATTATCTCTAAAACTCTGTTCTGTATTCAACCAAACTATAGTGTTTGTTCAGTGTAGAACAATTTTTGTGTGAACAAATATTTCATTTTGTCAACATAACTGTGGTGGAGAAAACCAGTGATTGTGTGTCTGTGTGTCAGACTGTCTTAGCTGTGAGAAAATAAAACCTGAGGAGTCATGTCAGATGTCACTGTCTTGTTAAATTTTTCAATTGAAGTGGATGCAAACGTGTATTATTGATAGTTTTCCTATCAGTATTTCAAATAAAAATTACATGCTGCAATAAATTATTTTTTTAACAGTGAACTGGAGCTGTGTGTGCACCGTATGTGATGCTCATTAACGTCTGAACATTATGAGGTACTTATCCAAAGTCAGTGTTTTACCTACAATTACTGTAAGTACAGTTGGTTCGTGGGTCAACCCTAGTTGTGTGCTACCACTATCAGGTTGTTGAAATATAATATAGTATAACAATCACTCCCGGGGTAAAAAAAAAAAAAGAACAATTCTTATTAATAATTGTGTCTTTATTAAGAGGATCATTCCACATGATTTTACATTCCTCGTGGTGTTTTGAAGTTCATTCCAATAGTTGGCTGAGTGACTTGAAGGTTGGAAAGGCCACCGAAATCCTAAAAGAGGAAGACAAGTCAATCAGGAATTAGGGATATAATCAGGAATTAGTCATCACAGGGTTAAATCCTGCATTATCATCAAGTCAATATGACTTCATGTTAGTAGTTGACACTTATAATAGATCATTTAAGTTAATTCAGTTACTTCATACATTTTGTTTTCTATTATTCACTGAAACCAAAAATATAAATCAATGTATTTGAAGCTCCACCCTCTTGGATATAAATGGGGTCTGAATCCAGCTAATTGGGCCATTTATTGTGTGACTGTTGGTCATTTGTTTATGATAAACAGGAAATACATCCTGCAGTAAACCATCATGAGTGATGTTAAGTATTTGATTTGTAGACCCGTTTTAAAGTGGTACTTACATTTCTATGTGTGGAAGTTTCTTTAATAAATCCTGCTGTTAACAAAAAGCTTGTGACAGTTCATCTACATGATGTCTACATGGACTGATGGAAGACCTTAATAATACACGTATGCAGTAATGTCTCTAAAATTATAGTTTTACAATCCAGGAAAAAATATTTTGTTAGAAGCATTTCTGACGGGGAATGTTTTGCCGGTCAAACACGGGTTAAACTCCAAAGCTGGAAGTCTTCAGATCAAAAGGTTCATCACGTATCATTAAGAAAACAGATTGTGTTTCACACTCACCAGCATCTTGAGCATTTCCTTTGTGTCTGGATCCACTTCGATGAGCTCCTGGTCCAGAGCAGAAATCTGGAGGATGAGAGATTTAAAAAAAAAAAAACAAATCAGCCGTCTGAACTGTGTCTTTTCTAACATGTTCAATTACAGTTTGAAAGATGCGAGTTATTAAAGCAAAGCCACAGATGTTGCATGAAACAGTGAGCGGACCTCTGGGACGTAGTTGTCCCTCCTCTCTCTCTCCTCCTCCTGCAGCTTGATGGAGATTCCTCTGACTGGACCGCGCTGGATGCGCTTCATCAGGTGTGTCACATACCTGAGGGACAAACAGGAGCTCATGGTTACCTGTATAATAACACAACGATCATATTGTTAGTCCGGTGTACACGGACGGTTTACATACACTATACCTTGCAGAGAGTTGCTATTAATCACATCATAAAAACATCTATTCAAGGATAACTATTGAAGTGGGGTGAAATGTTTGATTTAGATGAACAGCAGCAGGAAACTACAGCCGTCGAGTCCTCGGAGGTAATTAACCGCTGACTCACTGAAGTATATCTACAGTGGACTGTGACTCCACATTTTAAACTCTTAAGGCTTTGCAGGCTCCAGCAAAGGGAACGATATCTGTGAGATGCAACATTCAGACCGCTTTAAACCACCAGGTTTCCATTCACACCGGTCGTATATTTTATTGTGATGTGGACACTTTGTCCTAAACTCAGTAAATTATCAGACGAAGCAGAACACAGTTAACACAACTACGACAAAATACTAAATATTTCACTTGTTTAATTGACTCACATCACAAAAGACATAAGCTCCCGCCTTTTTTAAAGACTTGAATCTGATATAAAGCCCATTACATATCATGTTGTGCTCCACAGAACACTGTTTCTGGCCATCATTGGTTCACTATGAGGACCATACACTAGACGGCCCTCTCAAACTCTACACCTGATGAAGGTGTGGAGTAAACAAGGATCAAACGGCACCAGAGGAGTTTAAGCCTCTTACTTAAACGCATACAAGTGTGAAACCAGGAAAACATACATGGAGACATACTGGAGTATTGACAGGCGTAATTAACAAACAATGTCAGGGGTCCATACAAATACACAGAATACAGCCAAACAATCTGAGAAAGATTATTAGTTCTACATCAACCTTATCTGTATTCATCCTGAGGGAAATAGCTGTGCAGCAGTCACGATACAAAGTAGAACAAGTGCAAATATAAAAATATAAAAATAACAGTAGGGTACAAATCCAAATGATCATATATACCGGGCATTGGCAAACTACGACCCGCAGGCCGGATACGGCCCGTTGGGATTTTTAATCCGGCCCGTCAAACATTGGTACAAAATTGTCCAAACTATAATAAAGACTAGGGCTGGGCAGTATACAGGTTTTAATTTCTCGTATGATATGAATTCTCCACACACCATTATACCGGTGCATAGCCGAAACAACTGCTGTCTGCTTTCAACAGGCAGCTATATGTATTCTTTGCCGGTATCGTACAGCGGTCAGCGCTAGTTCTCTTATATGTATTGAGAGGGAACTCTAGTCATGGTCATAACTTTATAACACAACAATTAACAACCCACAACTAACGCTCTTTAACAGAGAAAAACACCACAGCACACAACAGTCTGTGACACAAACAATTTGTAACACTAATATTGTACATTTATAAATTGTACATTTATAAAATTTCACCGCCAAACTGCATGCTGGGTACAGCTCGCGAGCGAGCCTGCCTGCTAGCACAACAGTCTGCTAACAGCTGGGAGAAGCTCCGTGGCTCCAGTTACGTTACATTAAAGAACAGAACAGAGCGATGCAGGATGAACAAAGACTGACCGGAGATGCACAGATAGAGTCTGACACATATGCAACGCTGATTACCGTGTAATGTGTGTGGTATTTGTTATAAATGTACATTGGTGCAAAGAGGTGATAAGAAGCTGTACAGGGAGGGGCTTAGGACCCAGGGGAATGTAGGTGAAGGAAACGGAAAAAAGAGAAGACAAGCCACACAATCAGCTGTTCACCGCTCTCATGATCCTGTAGACCAGTGATTCTCAACGGGTGGTTCGTCGCGGACCCGTTTTCAGTGGGTCGCGGGTCTTTGCTTTATGCAGCGGAGTTATTCACGCTCCTTTCCAGCATTTACGGTACTTGTTCAGCGATGCAGGAAAAATACCGACCAATGCGTTGTAAATCACGTCACGTGATGCAGTTTAGCCAATAAAATAAGGGCATTCTGATACGTTTCCTGACGCCAGTGAGATGTACCCACACCGTGACACAGGGGGGGAGACAAGGAAAGACCTTACAGAGCAGACCTCTGATAATGTTAGATGTGAAAGTCAAATATCTGTATGATCCCTTCATAGAATCAAACTGCTAAAAAGACCACAGTCATTAACCTTTACACTAAAAACACTGTCAAAAATGACGACTTAATAAGTAGGCGCACGATAAAATATGCATTAATGTGATAAAAAATAACGCGTAAGATCCCAGCTAACTGATGAACACCTCAGATCTGTTCTGAGAATTACCACAACCAAACTGACACCAAACGTTGACGCACTGGTTAAAAAGGGTGACCAACAACACTGTTCCCACTGAAATTAAATGCAAGTTACTTTTTAGGTCATGGCTTTTACTTGTAATTTGTATTAGTTCACACAAACACAGATATCCCATCATGCAATTGTTCTCTGTTGACCCTAAACAGCCTGCATGCTGCTACACTTTCCTGTCACCACCAGGTTTGAGGTGAACCAGGCTGCAGACAACCGACCACAATCACCTGCGCTGGTCACATCATAAACCACTGACGGGACGTCACCCGCTAGCAGGAGTGCATGTTTCAGCTGTGTACACACAAACACACACACACACACACACACACACACACACACACACACAGAAAAAATGGCTGCAAACTCCACTTACCCTGCAATTTTGTTACGCAGAGGCTTGCTGGGGATGATGGCGATCTCCTCGCACACCCTCTTGTTGGTGTGGAAGTCATTGCCCAGACGCATGTAGTATTTCTCGATGATGACCCTGGAGGCCTTCTTGACGGTCTTGGTCCTGACTCGACCCTGAAGAGAAATTAAACGAGACACTTCATGCAACTGAAAGATATAGTAACAACACGTACCATAGGGATGTGCAACCACATGTTAAGTTGCCTAGTTGATGTTTGTTTTGATGTACTTGACTGCATATTAGTGGTCAAACTGGGGATCATTTTTAGCCAGAATGTTCTTTAAAAATCATTCAGCAATACGTCGATTGTTTGTTTGTGTCAAAATACTGCAAAACTCTTTAGCGGTGACTCATTAAGTAGAATTTGCCAAAAACAGCAGCACATTTCTAATGATCTGACCAATTCAATTAACTTCCTCACAAGAAATCATAGTAATTAACGTTACATTTTACTGTAGTTTACCCAACTCGCAATGTAACTATTTAATCAGTTTTAAGGCAAATTAAAAGCAATTTCATCACTGATTAGAAAAGTAAGCTTGCTTTTCTAAAAAAAAATAAGTCTGCATGACCGCTTACTAAGCAGAAAATCATAGCACCAACTAAGACACAATTTTCAAAATAAAATTACGTGTCATTAATGCAATTTAAGGCCATTATTTTTGACAGGATAACTCCAATAAAACCGGAAATAGTTGTAAAGTTTGTTTGTGTTACACCTGTTATCATACGCTACACATTAGTCCTCTCGCGACGGTTAAACTGGTTAAAGGCAGTACTCAAATAAAGAGTAAAGAATAACAAAGTGAACCAAATCTGCAGTTACGAATACTTGTGTTCCGGTGATATTCTGGTTGTGTATTGGACCGTTTCGTTACCAGTTAGCTTGTAACACGGAACTATTTAGCCCGTGTTTACGTACATTTAACGCCACTAAAATGCACCTAATTATAGCGTTAAGAAATCTTTGTGCCGTTTGTGTGCAAAGTGATACTTGTAACCGCTTGGTGGACAAACGGACAGTGAGGATTGAAAAGGATTGTGAGGGCTGGAGAGGTGAAGTGATCGTTGCGTTACCCACCATGTTGACGCGGACCGGTGGAAGAGAGAGTCACCGGAAGTTCATACCGGAAGTTTATGGTGTACAGCCGCCCGTCACACACATCAACGCGCCGACAACAGCGACGACTGGCGGCGGGAGGTGAGAAGTGCACTAATGGACTATCTGTACTGCCTGCTTGTAATGTTGAGCTTGTAAACGATTGCCGTTGACATTTTTCAAATAAAAACAAAAAAATGGTTGTAATTGTAAGCTTAGAATATAATAAGTTAATATGGCTGTATGTGTGTAGAACATTACTGCAAAATATAATGCATCTTAGTAAATAAGAGATGTTCACCACACTCCTGTGTATTAAGTATGTAAAGTCAACCCGTTGTTAAGCTTATTCAAATTTGTGAAATTCAATTCCATGTGACTTGAGATCATCTCGGCTCCAAGATGCTTTCGGGAAACTAGTCCCAGTGATTTTAGGTCATTAACTGTGATCCTAATATTTGTTTTTACTTACTTACTTACATCAGCAGCTCTAACGACACAAAAATAAATAAATGTTATACATATAACTTGTGACAAAGGGGGGCATTGCTTTAATTTCGAGGCATGTGCAATCTTACCATCAACTGACAACTTACTTTGGGGAGCAAACTGCCCCATACTTGTCAAGATTACCTTCAACACCAAGTTGAAATTGTTTGTTTTACAATCTAAATTGAAAGATTTTTGGCGCAGTCAAAACACTTTTATGTAACACACTTTTATGTAACTGTCGAGATGTTATGTTACTAACGAAAGAAAAGCAAGAAACCCGAGAACAATCATCGGTTATATTTGCAACTTCTTTAAAGTGAGAGTACAGCACCTGAAGCAATTAATACAAAATCACTTCACAGACGACATTCCCACAAGGTGGCGAGATCTTTTATTTTACATAAAAAAAGGGTGCAAACTGGAGTTTCCCTTTAGGTGTGGCGGGAATAAAAAGTGATTTTATAAGGTTCATGTGTGACACTTTGTATTATATGAATCCAATGAGAAAAAACAAACAGGCATTTCAGATAAAAAAGGACCTTTATCTTTCTGGAAATTAAAAATATGAAACGATAAAATGAAGAAATTTGGGTCCTTCATTCTTGACTAACTCATTCAAATACATTTCTGAAGTGACATTCATATTTCAACACAATAATATATATTTACAGTTTTAAGATTTCTCTTAATCATAGCTCTGAAAACAAAACAAAAACAATGCTGAGGGGAGGATAAACTCTTGGAGCTGTACAATTTGAATTTCCAGTCTGAGAGGGAAAAAAATAAAAAATATATCAAAGAATACATATTTTATATGGAATCCCAACAGAAAGAACAAAGAGTACAATTGTGAACTCTGTACAATTTACAAATAATCATCACAATATTGCAGTAAATGTCACCCTAAACCTCTCCCTCAAAGAAAACAATACAGTAAATCCAAGACGACTCTACAGTACAGCAACAAGGGAAAAGTGCCAGAGAACCCAGAAAGACCTAAAGCCATTCATTCACACTTCAACTGTCCTTCGCTTTGACACACAGGAATGTGACGTTACACACAACCGAAGCCATGAACACAAGTCTGACTGAAGCGCATCAGAAATGATGGGAACTGAAATGGAATGTGCTGCGAGAAGACGTTGGTTTTACACGAGGACTGGAAGCTGTGACGTCTCACTGACCAAACAGTACGCGAGCCCCACAGGTGAGCGAAAGAGAGGGAGAGAGAGGCCGCTCGCTGTCGTCTCCGGGTAAGCCATGCAGATACAAACCACACAGAGTACTCCTATATATCCCTCTGCGTGAGGCCCAGAGAGTAAAAAGTAAATACATCAGAGTAATATATCTATATCTACCGTTTCAGCCGGACGACCCACACTTTAAGGAAGAAGCAGATGTTGCAAAGACAACCAGCCACAAATCCAACTGTGAAATAATAGAACTTGGTTGATAACTGGATACTGGTTTCAACAATAATAGAAAGAAACCAACAGAAGCGACTCATAAACCCCCCTCTCTCCTGACAACACTTCCTGGTACTGAATTGGGCCACGTTGCTTTGCAATGTATCCAAAATGACAGTGGACACGTCAAGGACACACGGTGGAATGCGATGGTCAAAAACACATTCAAGTTCATATTTTGCTGGCACAGGTACAAGGCATGGGCTAGTAGTAGTCTCAGGAATGGCACTCTGGGAACGTTGAAGGCTAAATAGTCTGGATATCCATCTCACTACACATTAAAATACTTTCAACTTTTCTCAAGAAGCTGGAATGAAAACAGTCCGGGTGTCGCTGATGCTCTGTGGGGAGAATCACAGGCAGCAGATGTTTGGTGTCTGAACAGCTCACCGACCACAGATCAAAATACATCACGGCGAACGTTTCACAGAGACTAAAGCATGACTCCAACCTCTCAACCAACATCTCACTGCACCTCCTTCTGGGTGAAAACATGAACCCAACACTAACACCAGCTAGCACAGGACTCCACAGGCGAGTCAGACACCTGTCCAACACACAAGAGGCACTAAGACGTCTCAAAGAAATGAATACCCGTCATTCAAATAGCCTGTTCTCCCGCCATTCCCCCTCAAATCCTATGTGTGGACTTACTACGATAATGACCAAGAAACAAAACAAAAAAAAACAGAAAAGGTCCCGTAGATTTTCATGTTCAAGTACTTTCAATAACACAATAACTTAGACCCCGGAGTAACTGACGTGTCAGGGGTAAGAATAAACCGAACGCTATACAGTGTAAATACACGCAACAAGCAGGTTTACATACGGATTCATTGAGTTTGCAACATCTACAACATTGTATTTCTAAAGATGATGGAGAAGGTCCACAACACTAACACTGCGCTGAGTTGATTCACCTAGGACTGACACGTGCGTGTGTGTGTGTGTGTGTGTGTGTGTGTTGTGTGCGCGCGTGAGTGCGTGCATGTGTGTATGTGCAGAGAGTGGAAAAGGGAAGGGTGGGGGGAGGATGTAATGGCACCAAAAAAAAATCAAGACGGAGTGGGCGGGGATTAAAGTCGATTTAAAGTGTATTCCCTGCACCCTATAGGGAAGGCCTAGCGCATGAGGCAGCTACAATTAAAGTAATAAGCACGATTAAAGTACAGTATTAAGAAGGCAGGGTCTCGTCAGGGAAAGCCGGGGTCAACAAATGTAGTGCAGTCATGGTCTCAAGCTTTTTTTGTTACCCTCTCTTTCCCCATAAAACCATGGCTATTTGGAATGGAAAAAAAACAAAAGAAAATTGCATTCAAAGAAATTCACATCAGCAAGATATAACATAAAAAAATAAAACACCTATGTACGGTAATTCTCTGTTAGGAGGATAGGCAAGGTGACATATCGAGGATATTGTTTCAAGGCAGTCCTCCATGACACGAAATAAAAACAAAAATGGTATGGACATGTTCACTTATCCGCCTCCGCTCACGCTGTCGTTTCTCTCTCGGCGTCGAGGAGAGGAACCGAGTCGTCCAAACTTCAAACGTCGCTTTGCAGCACAGGGGTCTTCAGACTGGACACGCAGGGGCAGAGACGTCCCAACACCATTACACATCTTTACACCACACCTCCTCGTTTGGCGTTGCTCTCTCTTCGGAGTAAATCCTCAGCGTTACAAGGGAAGTCATTAACTGCTCTGATACTAGCTGGGGAACAGTCTGCAACTTTGGGCTTTATCCTACAGGTGACCCCAAAAAAAAAAACCAACAACCATCATGCTGTCAACTCGTTCATGTGATGTGATGGTCGACAGGTCGGTTGGTCGGGGTTAAGGCATCGGACAGTAGCGTCGAGAGGCTGCGATTCCATTCTCTGGTCACTCCAAAGCAACATCCCCCAGTGTCTACTGGTGAAGAGTTCATTATTAAGCATCACATTATTAAGAACATTTAAGACCCTCCCACATTTTTAATCCACTTAGTTTTGGTCTCACTTTTTTTTTTCTTCCCGTTTTTAAACATTGGTCTTAACTCCTAAACTGCAATTTCCTTCCCATGCGCATGACAGATTATAGAAATGCTCCAAAGTAATTTAGATTTCTGTCCATACATTCAGTGTGTATGTTTTAGAATAAGTAAGAAAACTGGTGGCAACCAAGACATAAATAGCATAAATAGCATGTTTGTTTTTTTCCAGCCCCATGTACAAGTGTCAGGTCGCTGCTCATTATCACAAAGCCGTCAGGAGCAGAACTGCAAACGAGACTGTAGTGTGTGTGTTTGACGGCGGCGTGGTTAAGGGGAGTGCTTTAACCAAGCAGCGTGAGCAGAAACACAGTGCAGGAGGCGTCTCTGGTCTTCTGTTCTCTCAGGCCCCGGGTCCCAGTGCCAGGGTTGACCTCTTTGGAGGAAAAAAAGTGCAGGGGCCAAATGGCAGACTGATGCTCTTTGTGCCTGGTGATGGGCAGTGACACTCTGGGCTCCTCGTGTGTTCAGGTTTACATTCAGTCCCACGCCAGGAAAGACCAAAAGGGCTTTGTGTCAAAATGAGTTCGCACGCCAACGACAGGCAAACCGCTTTGAACCGGGGCTTGACAGGGGGGGGAAACGAAAACATGATTTTGAGAGTCAAACAAAGAAATCATAGTATGCAAACAGGCCGACGGTGGCGAGCTTCCACGGGAAGATCTGTCTCTTCCTTTTTGCAATACCAACGAAGAGAAACAGGAGCAGAAGATATGCCAAAAACCAGAGGAAAAAAGATACAAATGCTGTGTCTTGGGGAGGAAAAACAAAAAGATTATCCTCGGCAAAATTCCAACAAAAAGGTTGCCCGCTCGGACGACTGGCCTGCAAAACATTTCCGCACATCTTGGAGGCGGGAGAAAAAAAGAAAAAAAAAAAAGAAAGAAAAAGAAAAAAGGACTCATCAAAAGACACAAGCGTCTTGCACATCTCAACAAACCATTTTTAACGGGTCCCTCCAGAGAGCAATTCAATCAAGATCTTTCAGTTGTCTCCCGAATAGGACCTTATTGATTTCTGAAATCACAATCAACTGAGCCGGACGCGTTTGGGGCCGGTGGCGGAGGATCATTTGTGCCTCGGCGTGTTCTTCTTCCGTTTTCGCTTGAAGAAACAGCAGCACCTGCGGACAGAGACACGAATTAAACCGGTATGCAGATGAGAGAGGCTTCAGATGAAGCAACAAGAAAGAACAAACGACGAGTGGACGGCTTCAATTGGTTTGGTTAAATAGCTGAATTGGGAGCCTTTCAAATCTGGACAGATGCGTGTTTTTGGGATCACATTGGTGAGAACTGCAGCTGGCAACGGGTTTGATTAGTGAAGCATTAGCATCAAGGACAAGATGGATGATGTGCCATCCGCCAAGTGTTTGCATGCTGATTCACCTCCCACAGAAAGATGACAGCGGGGACTTTAATACAAACTGCTGCAGGGACGCTGAAGGCAACATTTCTCTTATGCCAAAACATAAATGGAGCAGTGCACACAGAGCACGAGACATGGTCAATAAAAACATACAAAGACAAGGGAAAGCTGTGGATCAAGACATAGGACAGTGACTGGGTACTCTTAGAAGAATTCATTAAAAACAAAACATGGGGCACCATGCAACAGGAGTGTAAAGGCTTTTAAATGTGCTGCTAAAAGAGTAGAAATCCAAGTGCTTTTTAAATACTACAGGGGCTCACACAAAAGACGACTTAGTTGACTTCTATCAAAGCACTTATTCTTCCTGCCCTGACATCAAGTTTTAAGTCAGTATGGCTGCTCACATGGCAGCACTGCTTAATATATTCTCTACTCATCCGTTACTGCAACATGTGGTGCAGAGACTTGATAGTACACATATTAGACCGTGTTCTCAGGGGTTTATGGCCCTGCTGTACCAGTGAGAGTCTAGTTAAAGTTAGTAAATAACTCCACTAGGCCCCAGCCTAGGCTGGTCCACTCCCTGTCCCATGAGTCTGATGTGGACTAGCAGAGAGGGACTCACCACAGGTTGAGCATTTTCACGCAGCTACAGCAGAAGAGAGGAAAGAGTGTAAAGAGAAACGGAAGATAGATTAATACAGAACGACCAGGATGATGGGACTGGGCTCATGCCACACACACTGCCCCCCACACACACACACACACACTGCCCCACACACACACACACACACACACACACGACACCGGTGGACATGGAGAGGTAACGTTCAAAAGGTTAAAAAAAAAAGGAGAAAAGATCACAGAAATGGTTACAGAACATCGACTCTGCAGCCATTTCCTCCTGGGCTTTATGTTACCTTTATAAATGTAGGTATGACTTTGCTTTAATTATACATATATATATATAAACAACATATCCTACGGCTGGGCGATAATTAAATATAAGTTATTATCTTTCAATAGAATCATATTTTAATGAAATCATATTTTAATGAAATCATATTGAGATATCGTGATACAGAATTACGTCATCTACTGTAAATGGCTAAGAAAATATTAACTCAAATGCTTCAGTCAGTCCGATCATTTTGCAGTTAAATTAGTATTTTCTCATATTATTAAGTATTTCATTCACACAATAGTATACAAAAAGAGACTTGAGTTTCCAGAAAACATGCGAGCGAGAGAGCGAGAGAGAGCCAACTGTATATGTGGCATTCATTCACCATGGGAACCTGATATTTCCTTAAAAAGGCAAAACATTAATTAAATTGCATCATGATTTGCATCCATTACTTCACGTTCTTATATCAAACGTCGACTAGTCTGACGAGGTATCAAAGAAGAGACTGGCAGTAAACGCGGCAATCATCACATCAAACAATTGTGTGAAGGGGGACAACAGGAGGAAGATGTGATTAAAGGGAATGAAGCTCTGGGAGATTCATGAGGAGACTCGGCAGAAGGGAATCATGATGGACTGATGGGAAATAAAACCCTGCAATATGATTTATAGCAACTGGACTAATGACTGAACTGAAGCTAAATACATTTAAAGATGTATTCTATGTCAAGATATATAAGATGTATTATGTAATACAACACAAGGCGCCATTTTCAGTACTTTTGTAGCTTGTAACTAAATCTCTGTATTTTGGAGTTGAGTTTCACTCCAGTTTCTTGTGTGTTCTTTTACTAAACAAAAAGAATCGGCCTCACTGTTTGCTTTAATATCCAACAGCCTCTGATCCCAAATGCAAAGCACTTATTATCTCCATTAACATGGATATTTGTTGTCTCAGAAGAGCTTCTCTCAATCGGCTGAGCCTCGTGACGTTCAGGCAGCAGCGCAGTTATAGCGCAGCGTCATTCCAGCTGCTGAAGACTTAACACCAGTAGCCGTTTAGCCGGTGCTACCAGCTCTCAGATCAACCCAATGAAAACAATGTTAAGGATTGGGGTTTCCATGTTGTTGTTTTCCCCTCATGCTTGTCTCTCAGGGAGAGAAAGATGTGACTGATGCGATGACATAATCTTTGTACTTGTGACTAAGTCACCACATGGACAATCTGGTGTGATCTCAACTGGCTGCGACCACAACACACACCGACAGAATGTGCTTTGCATTGATCATTGCTGATACCGTTAACGACGTGAAGAGCAGGTTAATCAACAGTGGCGCATTTCTTTAAGTTGGTCAGGCTGCTAGAAAGTAAAGTGCAGCCTGTGTTAGAGGTGGACTGCTCAGTGAGAGACTGCAGGTATGAGAGGATGAAGTAGCTCAGACTGAGAAGTTAATCTACATCTAAAAAACAAAAAAAAGTCTAATTAAGGGAACAGATAGGCAGTCGAGATCAAAAACCCACACAGTCAAACTGAAGAGGGGCTGTCACAATCCAACAGCATAGCAAAAAGTGTCGAGAGAGAGGAAGAGCGGGAAGGAGAGGAAGCGACAGATGGACATGGAGGAGAGGTGTGGCGGGTGTATGACACATACTTGGCCTCGTCGACCACTTCCACCTCTGCCTGAGCTGTAATGGGAGCGTTGGAATGAACAGCCAGTGGATCGTCTGCATTCAGCTCCCCGTTGGTCGAGCTGACCACCTGTGGCACAGACGGGTGTTACTTCAAAAAACAGTGACGACGTTGGCCAGAATAAATGTGAATAACCGCTCCTGCTGTGATGGGAGGTTGTTTTTTCTGGTTGCATGAATACTGCTTTAACAATTCACTTTACTTTCATTGCCTCGTCTGTGGAAACACAGCAGCAAAGAAGAACACATGAAGAACACAAAAAGCACATTCATGTGTTGTGTTAACTCCTCTGTTTTGCTTGCATTTCATATCCACTCTTTCATTTACAGTTTCAAACATGTAACATCTGCAGGAGCTAATAGGACTGTTGATCTATATAAATCCTAAATAATTTTATGGTTCTTGAAAGAAGAAATTCTTCCAAATCAAAAACACACAGACGAACATTCAGAAAAAAAACAAACAAACAAACAAACAGCCACCGACAGACAAAGAAAAGCTATTGACGGTTGTCCACTCACCTGTAGAAGGAATGGCATTATAATTATTGTAAAGATGCAAGTTGTGTGTGCGTAGGTTTATACAGTGTACAACTTTGTTAATGTCAGCCACCATTCAATTCCATTCATGGTGCAACAGTGTGGAAAAAACTCCTTGAGATGAAGTTGCCAGACGCAGGAAACTGTCAAAATTGTCGTCAATTTCCCCACAAAATATTCTCAACAGTGTAAATTATTATTTTTCGGGATGACCCAACACATTACATTTTGCTCATATGTAATCTGTTGTTTTGTATTTTATTGTACGACGTGTTTTTTGACTTGTAACTCGCTGCCTTTTGGGCCAGATCACCATCAAAAGAGAGATTTTATCCAAACTGTTTTTTATGTGGTTAAATTAAAAATGTTTTAATTAAATTATAGAATTTCTTGGAAAATTATTGGAGAGTAGAACAGTGACTGTGCTGCTTTAAAACGATAAATAGCATATGTTTGGATTAATATCCATAAAAGGTCAATAATCATACTGTCTATAGAGACGTTAGCTAATGGTGTTTCGTAAGCTAACAGTGTAACAACTAGGCTTGCTAGCATTAGCTCTGCTACCTCCATTGATCATCTGGCACAGTGAAGTAGTTTCTCTTTATTCTTTGTGCACCGAGCATCCAATCAGAGCAGGAGAGTCAGACGTTTCTGCCAACGTAAAACAACCAGGAGACAAGGTCCACGTATACAGTGAACATACAATAGTTTTCACCTGAATGAAACACAGAATGATGTCTGTAACTTACAAGCTTCCACACGGTTGCACCATGAATGGTTGAATATTACGTTTAGTAGAATAGTCAGAGATCTAATAAAGCCGACACTGTACACACCTATGCAAACTGAGCTCGTTACAGACGGGGACAATCTTGGTAATGGCAAGAAGACAAATCATACCAGGATGTTCCTTTAAGCATAATGACCCTTTACGACTAAAGAGCATGCACTTAGCCGACTGAGCCACGTAACTCTGCCATGCAAGAGGCTTCTTGGTCTTGCAAGGAATGTCCAAGGGCCATGAAGAAGTGTAGTACCTGAGACCAAAATGCCACAACCAGGGCTGCTGTTTATAAAGCTCAAGTCCTTTTATAGCATCTGGGGTTGGTGGCACCAGATGACATGCATATGGTGGTGCAGAAAAATAACATTTCCCAGCCAGGGGTAAAAGGGGGGGGGGGGGGGGGGGGG